TTAAAATGCTCGTCTGCAAACCCAAAGGTCAGCAGTTCAAAGCCACCAGCCACTCTGCAGGAGAAAGATGTGGTACTCTGCATCTGTAAAGATCTATCAAACCAAACTCAAACTCAAACTCAGTGCCATCGAGTCAAATCCAACCATTGGGTTTCCAAGGTGGTAAATCTTTATGGAAGTAGATCACCCCATCTTCCTTCCACAGAGCAGTTAGTGGGTTTGAACCACTGACCTTCTGGTTAGCAGCCAAATGCCTTCTTCACTATGCCACCAAACCCTATGGGGCAGTTTACTCTGTACTATAGCGTTGCTAGGAGTCAAAATCAACAACAGTGAGAGTTTTTCATATGTTATATGTATATGATACAGAGCGAAACCTGTGGGTGCTGGAATTCAATAGGACTCACTTGTTTTTCTGGCTTTCACAAGTTTTCTGCCTTTGACAGGGTGCAGTCTTATCACTTTTCTATTGCCTGTTTTGGTGGAAAATATTTGAATTTTCCTTCTCTGCATAGAAGACTTGAAGATCATATACTGAAATGTAGATTGTTTCTCTGGATGGTGAAATCACAAATGATTCTTTTTAGTCTTTATGCTTCTCTGAATTTTTAGGATTTTCTGCAGTCAACATGTAATTCTTATATAATCAGATAAAATATGTTATGTATTAAGAAATCATGTCAGAAACAAGGGACTAAAATGCTTCAGGGTGTTAAGATAGGCTCAAAAAGTGAAAGAAAAGTTTGGGTTGGAGTTGAGATGGTTTGAGATATTTGAGACTGACTCTGAAAAGCCAGTATAGTATATAATTAAGACAGAGAGAAGACTGTCAATCACAAACCCAGCAAATGATGAAATAGGAAAATCAAAATTAAACATCAATAGACAAAATAAGCTAAGGGAATAAGATCTCTTTCTTTAGAAGCATGTTTTATCTAAAACTAGAGTGATGTTATTACATTGGATCATCCACCTTACTCACCAACCTTAGATCTAAATGACTTCAAGCTTCCCCTGTCAACTAAACCAACCCTGGGAAGTTAAAGAACTACTACTTTTGAGAATATTCCATTATGTTGCAAGGTTCTAAGGCCATTAAAAATAAGAATTTGCAAAAAAGTTTTAAGTAATGTCAACATGCTTTGAATGGAATTAACACTTATTTTTATGTTCATTAAATTATCGTGCAATTTGTTTTTATGTTCACATTCTGTAAATACAGAGACAAGTAGAAAGATAGAGACCTAAAGTGAAAGCTGTATTTCTATGACCACATTTCTCTTCTCTATCAAGCCTGCCTCACTCTGCTTTCAGAAAGGCTCTCAGACTTTCATTTCCATGCACAGACTTTGGTTCTTAGCAGTTCCAAACCTCCCCCCACTCCTCTTCTTGATTTCTGTCTATGTGAACATAACCAGTGCACTCCTGGTAGGTGTCTTTTGCTTTCCTTAACATTCTATCAGTGCTGCCAACCTGAAGGGACCTGCTGCTGCCAGTCTTGAGAAAGCAGCCACAGGAACCATTATCTTCGACACCTCAGATTCCTTTGCAATGCCTGGAACAGTACCTTCCTCACAGTAAAGTCTCAATATTGATTTTGGTTGAGTGAGTGGAAGCAACTTTTCATCCCTATTACATTACTTACTATTTGGTGGAATTCAAAATAAGACAGCTCTATTTTACAGCAGGAAGCCCTGGTGGCGTAGTGCCTAAGGCATTTATTTGACTGCCAGAAGGCTGGTGGTTCAAACCCACTCAGCCACTCCTCGGAAGGAAGATTGGGCAAACTACTTCCGTAGAAATTCCTCCTCAGAAACCCAAGGAGGGGTCACTATGTGGTGGAAAAACGACTCGATGGCAGTGAGGTTTTTTTGCTTTTGATTTTGTTTTACAGCAAGGCACTCCGGTAGTATAGTGGTTAAGGCATTTGGCTGCTAACCAAAAGCTGATGATTCAAACTCACCAGCTGCTCCACAGAAGAAAGCTGTAGCAATCTGCTTCTGTAAAGATTTATATCTTGGAAACCCACTGGGGGTCTCTATGAGTCAGAATCAACTCGAAGGCCGTGAGTTGGGAAATTTTATTTTTATTTTACAGTGCATGGTTCTAAAGCACCTTGTCACAGTGGTCTCACCCAAGGCCATACCACACTCTAAAATGAGAGAACAGTATGACAGGGTTTTAGCACAGTCATGGCAAAGGGGCATCCATTTCTCTTGATTTAAACTTCTTTTTTTTTTTTTTTTTACTTTTATTGTAGTGAAAACATACACAAGACATTTGCCAACATGACAACTTCCACATTCACAGCTCAGAGACATTGATGACATTTTTCATGTTGTGCCATTATTGTTGCTATCCTTTCCCAAAATATTCCACCACCATTAGCATAAACTCTTATTTAAACTCCTATCTCCAGTTCCTGATTACTTTAAAGGTGAAGGTACTAACTTCTGTTTGCTTCCTGGAAGCAGGGTGGGTTCACGGATCATAGTTATTGTTGTTAGCTGCCATCAAGTCAGTTCCAACTCATGCTGACCCCATGTGTTACAGAGTAGAACTGCTCCACAGGGTTTTCTTGGCTATAATCTTAAAAGAAGGAGATTTCCAGGCCTTTTCTTCTATGATACCTCTGGATGGGTTCAAACCACCAACCTTTAGGTTAGCAGTCAAACAGAAACTATTTGTACCACTTGTGGACCTATTTTTGTATACAGAATAATATAAATCTATAGAGTTCCTTCACATTTCTGTTTGTCTTTCAAAAGCAAATTGGTGTACAACGTATGTTCCTATACCTAACATACTCCATTGCTTTGTGTCTTCAGTCTCTATGATATCTTAGAAAATGTATTTCCTTAGGGGTACACTGGTCAGAAAATACTGACTTGATCAAGAACCACACTGAGAATCTGCAAACTGAAGGCTGACTTGCCAATGTATGAAATAGTTTTCATGTGGCATGAATCACGGTGTTTTAAATGTAAAAAGAACTTTAGCAATATGTCATCTAGTCCAATCTCTTTATGTTAATGTTAGGAGAGTGAGACCAAAAAGTTTATATGACTTCCTCAAGAACACTTGAGTAATGATTGACAGACTCATGATTCAATATAGTTACTCTAACATTTAGTCATGATAGTACACTATTCTACATTCTGAGAGACAAATAGTCAGTACTTTTTTCCTTCTTTTTCAAATCAGGACCTTTGGGATTAGGCCATCACTGAGCAAACCATTCACAAACTTACCCAGTATAGAAATTCCTTGAAAGCAGGATTTAAAAAGCTTCTTTTTATCTCCCATATACAAAATATATTATATTATGCTTGCTATCAATTAAATAAATATTTTATTGATTATTTTATTTACTGATTACAGAAGTAATAAGTAACTAGACAATAACCTATTATAGAACTAATAATATAGACAGCAAAAAATGATTCTAATATAGAAAGTTATACCACTTGCATTTTATTTCTTTTAAAGGAAGATAATATGAATAATCAAAGACATGTATTTTAGATTCCCAGCTCTACTGTTTGATAGCTATGTGACCAAGGGCAAATAAATAAAGTATGTGTTCCTTCATATTACAACAGGAGTAATAACATCACCTCATGTGGATGCTGTAAAGATTAAATGTGATCATCTGTATGAGCACTTAAAGTGACTAGCATATGGCAAATACTCAATAAATAAATGTAAGTTACGATCAGCCAGAAAATAAGCACACTCATGCCTAAAACTAGAGGGGTTTTTAGAATAAAACCCAGGATTTAGACTGGATGAGAAAACCTACCTACTGGAGAATAGTTTTTAATCTATTTATTCCGTGGCCTCGAAAAGAAAACAATGGGAAATGTGTCATTCTTTGCTGGCAATCTGCTGCCATAGAAATGCCAAAATGCTGTGGGTATATTCTAGTATGAGTAAAAACACCACAGGAAATTCACGATTAATACACTAGTATTAATGATTAATGACTATTTTGTAAAGGACAATGAAAATGTAATTTTTCCATATGGAATCCTAAATTTAGCTGGGGGAAGGCATTTTTAAAAACCCTTTAACTGTTAAACTATCATGAAAATACGGAACCCATCAATTTGCATAAATTTGTGTTCCAAATGAAAACAAACCATGCCTATTATAAATATTTTCATGGCCTATCTCAGCATTGAGAAGAAAAACTGATAATATAAAAGCATGGCTGTCAAGGAGTAAACAGTGGCCAAAATCTATTATAAAAGTACTTTAAAGTGCAGTTACACTTTCAGAAAGATTTTATCTAGAAGATTGCAGATTTATAAATACATTACCAAAATTTAATGTCACAATCATGATGCCAGTGTCCATAAAATTATATACTAAGTTTCAAGGCTTTCACTATTTCAAATAAGTTCATTCACATTTCAAATAATTTTCCATTTTCTTGGCTATCAAAATAAAATTTTATTAGATCCTCATCATTTGCTGGGAGTATAAATAAGGACCTAACACAATTCTACCATGAAGAATTTCATAGAAAATAAAATGCTTCTAAGCTGTCCTAGACTCAAAAACTATGTCATGATTACTTATTTTACCCCTTTTATTTTTTTCTTATAATTAATGCAGATGGGCCTTATGGACTTCGAGTTGATTCTGATAAAGGGCTAAAAGTAGGAGAAGTGTTTACTATTGACCTTGGAGAAGCCATCCTTTTTGATTGTTCTGCTGATTCTTACCCGCCCAATACCTACTCCTGGATCCGAAGGGCTGACAATACTACATATATCATTAAGCATGGGCCTCGCTTGGAAGTTGCATCTGAAAAAGTAACCCAGAAGACAACCAACTATGTGTGCTGTGCTTATAACAATGTAACTGGACGACAAGATGAAACTCATTTCACAGTTATTATCACTTCTGTAGGTAAGTATGACATAAATAAACCCTCCCCCAAAAAAACCCCACCATACTCACTGCCACTGAGTCAATTCTGACTCATAGTGACCCTCATTGGGTTTCCACGGTGATAAATCTTTACGGAAGTAGATTGCCCATTCTTCCTTCTGGAGAGCGGCTGGTGAGAAATTCCAGTAAATCATGAGTGTGTGCTGGCCTTGCCTTTCCCTTATTTTATACTTTTATCAAAGACAAAAACATTGTGGGATTATTCAGATACTCTAAGAAATTCTCTTTCCCAACTTAACTAAGCCATGGTTTCTATGAGTGAGTGAATAAATTTAAAACAGAATGGAATGGAATTCAGTTGTTGACCCAGAGGGTCTATGAAGAAAAAGAGAAATTCAGTAAGTTCTAAATGTACATTCTTGCTTTTCTGGTTTTACAGACAGGAATATAAGAGAAGCAGGCTACCATTCAGAGAGCTTATCTCTGCTGTAGGTGAGAAGAGTAAATCTCCAGGAGTTAGAAGTCTGCACTTCCTACTATCTATTTCACTGTCCTTCATGTGCTCCCATTCCTCTTTCACTGTTTAAATACCTGACGTCTCTGGAACTTCTCACCAGAGGTCTCAGTACGCTGGAAAGTACAAAATTTTGTAAGTCTGTGAAAATTTACTTTCTCTGGGGGAAAAAAATTACATCTGATTTTCAGAGAGGTCATCGATCCCCAAAATGTTAAAAATCACTGCTTGAAATATTGATGTCCACTAAATTTTCATCTTCTCAAGCCTTCTCTTCTCTCTACACATTCTCCTGTGTCATTTCATTCATCCCCATGGTTTCATGTACAACTGGTACATCTCACATCTACATCCCTAATGCACAGAAACTGTATACCAAGCTGCCTCCTGGACATCTCTACTTGGATGTACCAGAGAGAGAATACAGGCCTATGTAACAAAACCAAACCCTTTTCTTTCCCCCGAAAAAAAAATTGCTGTTCTTTCTGAATTCCCTGTTTGAGTGAATGGCCTTACCATTTACACAAGCCAGAAAGTGAAATGTCATCCCAGACTTCCCACTTGCCTATTGCCCCCTTCCACATCCAATCACTGAGTTCTATTTTCCTTCCTTCCTATCTCCGTGGTCCATCCTCTTTTTTCCTTCCCTTTCTGTTCCTTCTTGTTCAGGCTTCTCTTGCTCTAATCTTTTTCCTCCTCTTTCTCCCCCTTCTCCCCTTCCTTCAGCTGTTTCTGCTTGTTTTTCTCCTCCTTCTTTTTCATTTTCTTCTTTTGCTGCTACTATTACTGCTTCTACTATTACTATTCAGTCCTTCCTGGACTATCTTGGGGAGCCGCTGGTGGTGTAGTGTTTAAGGCATTTGGCTGCTAACTAAACCTGCTGCTCCAGCAGGAAAAAGATGAGGGAATCTGCTTGCGTAAAGATTTACAGCCTTAAAAACTTTATGGGGCAGTTCTACTCTGTCTGTGGGGTTCCTATGAGTTAGAATCAATTTGATGATAGTAGGTTTGGTTTGGGTTTGGACTATCTTTTGTATTCAGACAAACACAAGCCAGATTCCACTTAAGGAAAGCCTAGGGCTGATCAGAACAGGGAGTGCTGTTTAGAGTGCCTATAACTGGTGAGGGAGCTCTGATAGCATAGTGCCTAAGGCACTTGACTGCTAACCAGAAGGCTGGAGGTTCAAACCCACCAGCCACTCCTCAGAAGGAAGGTTGGGCAATCTACTTCCATAGTGATACTGCCTCGGAAACCCAAGAAGGGGTCACCATGAGTCAGGTCCAACTCAAAGGCATGAACAAGTTCACAAACGATGCTAGCCACTAATACCTTTTCCTTCTTTATAGCTCTGGTATCTTGCACAAGGTTCATAACATAGAGACACTTGACACATTTTGTTAAATAAATGAAAAAAGAGCATAATTCTTTTTAACCTTTAGGCTACATTTTTCAGTATATAGCCCTTGGACCATCTACCTTCAAAATCACCCAGGGAATCACTAAAATATATAGTTTCATTAAGGCCTTTCCGACATAATGGGTTAGATCCCACAAGTAGGACTTAAAATCTGAATGTTTATCGAGCACAAGTGTGACAGCCACTTGTGTTAAGGTTTTGTTGTTGTTGCTGTTTTCCCTATAGACTTTTAAAATTATTTTAAAGTTATTAAAGAAACACCAAGAAATGTAAGACCATCACAGACCTATAGTTAATGAAGAGATATGCAGTGAATGGGGCTTTTCTAGGACTTCTTAAAGTCAAGGGGTTTTTATACTGGAATAGTTTTATATTTATATTGTATATTTATATATGCTGTCTAGAATAGTACTGTCCAATACAATCTTCTGGATGATAGAAATGCTCTATATCTGCACTATCCAATATGGAAGTCACTAGCCTAATTTGCCTAATAAGCATTAAGTGGCTATGCAACTGAGCAACTGAATTTTTTATTTTCTCTCATTTTTATTAAATTGAATATAAATTTAAATAGCCACTTGTGTCTAATAGCTACTGTAATTGGACAATAAGCCTCTAGAATTTTCACCTGAATTATACTTCATTTGGGCAGTAGGTAACAATATATTTCCCTTGTAGACCCCAGAAGTATATGTGTTTTTAGAGTGACATAAATTATGCTGTCATTCACTTATTATTGAGCACCTATTATGGGCCAAATGTTGTGGTAGGCACTGAGAATGCCATATAAAGAAAAAATTGATGCAAACAAGACGCTTACAACCTAGTATGGATGGCAGACATGTGAACAGCTCAGGTGCATCTTTTGCTTTCTATTTTACTAAACTTTTAATAGATACAGTCAGCTTTTCACCCCATAGCAAACCAAAACACAACTTTAAAGCAAACCATAATTAAGCCTATAAAGTATTTTACTAGTAGCCTAGATATCATCCTAGATGGCTTCCTCTTTCTCATTGCCAGTGAAGAAATGGCCATAATACATAGAAGTATACTGCAGTGGCACCTTTCCCATCACCTAAACTTTCCCCATTAATATTTAGCCAAGGTATTTTCCTACTATGTGAAGCCCCCAATATTTAACTAAGATCTTATTACCACAGAAGACAGCTACAGTCTTAATGACAGTTAGCCCTTGCAAAATCTAAAAAACCTGTTTGACCTGTACAAAGACCAGGCTATTTGTTATTATAGTAAATAAGAGGAGCAGGTGCTTATTTTTCAGAAGGATTCAGAGTTGTCAACATTAGTGGCCTCTCTGTGGTTTCTAGAGCTATTTTGGTAACCCCTCAAAAGCCCAAAGAACTTTTGCTTGAATAGCAGCAAAATGGTGAAGAAAATCGATAGCATTGGTTTGTTAAATATTTGATTCTTTTAAAATTTTCCAAATGAGTGAATGAGCCTTGTGATGCAGATGAAGTATACACCAACCTTCAGCTACAAATGAGCCTCACTTGGAACTATCAATGGAGCATGTACTAATGAGTAATTTATATTAAGACCTGTGGCGAATTTTAAATAACTGAACATTTAAAATAAGCCTTTGAGATGTTTCCAGAGCCAAGTTGACATTTGATGTAACTAGAGCCAAGTTCTTAGAAATAGATGAACCTCTTTGTTCTTAATGAGCCAACAAGAATGGCTGACCAAAAAGTGTCAGCAATAAGATGTGGAAGGCAAAGGAAGGAGTCAAAGATGACTGACCGCAAGGTCACAAACATGGAAAGAAGATGATTAGGTCAGGAAATGATCAAATGTTTCATTGGGGGCTGGTGTTGGAGAGAGGATGACTGAGAATGTGACAATGAGTTATACTTTTCCTGCCTGTGTAAGACCAGACCATATGGTGCCTTCCATGTCTGTGACTAATTTATGATGTTAACTGACTTTTCTATATCACAGTGGGGATAGCCTAAAGGAAACAGGGACATTGGGCAAGATCACATACCTAGAAAGTGATAAAATGCTATCTGAATTCACAGTTCATGTTTTTAACCATTACACAAACTGTTTCCTTAATGGAAATGAGAATATTGATACAGGACTGTGGCCTTTCTAAGAGATGTGTATAGTATCACACACATGCAGTATAGCATATATTTTCTCATGACTTTAATTATATGCTATGTACATAGAGATAGTTCTAGTTTATCTATGATGTGTATAATTTCATATTAATAAGAAATTATTAAATATCTGTACCTAAAATAATACTTGTAATATATGTTTCAAGGAAAGAACAGCTACTTAAATACCAAATTGGCATTTATGTTGTAAAAAAACAATGACATTATTGCCTTAATTAAGGCCTCTGTTCCATGAAGAAGGAGCTCTGGTGGCAGAGTGGGCAAGGCATTTGGTTGCTAACCAGAAGTTCAGTGGTTCAAACCAGCTGCTCAGCAGGAGGAAGATGGGGCAATCTACTTCCATAAAAATTTACAGCCTTAGAAACCCAATGCAGATCACTATGAGTCAGAATCAACTCAACAGCAGTGGTTTTGATTCTATAAAGAGGAGCTGTGGTGGCACAGTGGTTAAAGTGCTGGCTGCCAACCAAAAGTCGGCGGTTCAGGTTTGAACCCACGAGCTGCTCCCTGAAGACAGATGAGGCAATATGCTTCCATAAAGATTTATAGCCTTGGAAACTCTGTGGGACATTTCTACTCTGTCCTATATAGGGATGCCATGAGTCAGAATGAACTCAACAACAGTGGGTTTGGTTGGGTTCCTTGAAGGCAGAGGTTCCTAAAGTTTTAACTAGGCCTAAATCACTACTGCAGTATATATAAGATGGAAATATCATATATAAATATGGGGAAATAAACATCTAATCAGAATTCAAATATTTCCATTTAATGTAGGCCTTCTGATGTATAAATAAGAGTTCCATAGGAGCACATGGCCTTTGTTTAAGATTGAGCTATACTAGAAATGTTTTGGATTTGTCTGTGATTCTCAGAAATCTACCATTTTTATTGTTTATTTATATTCTAAATCTTTCATAAAGAAGAGAACAGGAAAATTGTCCAAGGCAGGAAAATGATTTTACTAATTTCTTCTATCTACCTAGGACTTTCTCATGTCAAGGTCTCTATGAGTTGTATTTCACGTTGGGCCACTGGACATAAGGTTGAGATAGAACTACAGCCCTGACATCTAGACTCTGAGGTCCTAGGTGACATCCCTCTGAGCATCTAGCACAGCATTACTGTGACCGTAAGGCAGGGCCATAGCACAATGTGAAAATAGCATGCCCTTCAATATGGTGCCTTAAACTCCTTAGGGATGTAAATCAGCTGCCATAATCAGTGAACAGTTTAGATGGGAGAGACCTCATTCTAATCTAGAAACACAGACACTAACTAATAGCATATGGCTGTCCTGTTTTGGGTGCGGTCTCTCAGACAGCAGGGTTGCGATACCATGGATACCACACCTCTTGTCCATATTTGCACTTAACATGTTATTTCATTTTATTTGTTTGCCTAAGGAGGAGGCAAATAGCATTTGTGCTAGGGCTTTGGTAAATGAGCCAATCATGTTTAAATAAAGGGGGAGAATGGCATGTTATGTGCTAAAGAATAGTAAACTCCCAGAAAGGAGAAAGGAGGGTACTCTTGCAATTTCCCAGAACTGAAATTAGGGATTCTTACCCATTCTCTGTGGCAAAAGGGTGAGAATTTTACTCCTGTCTCATTTTGAAATTGAGGTTCTATAAGTCCATCTCTCCAAAATGTACTTCCTAGAGCTGAGACCACAGCAACTATGCCTCTTGATTTAATCCTTGACATATTTGGCATTTTTCACTTTGTGATAGGAAACAAATTTCAAATGCTGGTCCTGGTTAATCTTGTATAGAGCAATAATCCTGTATAGGGAAATGGTGTTGAGAATCATAAAGCCAGAATATTATACAGAAAAAATAAGCCTAATAGGAAAGAACATGCTCTGAGAAAAGGCCTGTCCCTATCCCCCATTATCAAAAGAGAGAGTATTCAACCTTGGTCATAACCAAAACTTTGGGAGACAGGAGCTGCTCACTACAGATTACCTTCTGTAGGGCAGAGACTAGAAGAAAAGGCAAGAGGGCAATAAGGAAAATGAGAAGTCTAAAGAAATAAGGAGGAGCTCTGGTGGCCTAGTGCCTAAGGCATCTGACTGCTAACCAGAAGGCTGGGGGTTCAAACCCACCAGCCACTCGGAGGAAGGAAGATTGGGCAATCTAATTCCATAGTGATACCACCTTGGAAACCCAAGGAGGGGTTACTATGAGTCAGATCATACTTGACGGCACTGAATGTTTTTTTTCTTGGTTAAAGAAATAAGGAAGGGATAGTAAAGGAAAGAGTAGAACTCTCCATAGGACAAAATGTGAAAATTAGGTCATTTTAGGAAATATATATATTTTTAACAAAAAGTTAAAAATGAAAAAGAGGGAGGAGATGTGTTATATCTAATGTAAGACATCCAGTTATGGTTAGCTTAATCTAGTATCAGGCTTCAGAATCATGGAAGTAGCTGGAAAGAGCTGAGGTGTGCTAGAGTGTAACTTCACCCTAAGAATGACAAGTACTCTGAAATAACTATTACTAGCATTACTTTGGGAGCTCTGGTAGCATAGTGGCTAAGGCACTTGACTGCTAACCAGAAGGCTGGCGGTTCAAACCCACCAGCCACTCCTCGGAAGGAAGGTTGGGCAATCCTACTTCCGTAGTGATACTGCCTCGGAAACCCAAGGAGGGGTCGCTATGAGTCAGGGCTGACTCGACAGCACATAACAACAACCACAACAACAAGCATTACTTTCAAGTTTAAGAGAAAAAAGAGCTGTGACTATACTAAAATGTTTTTCTGGAGATTACTGTAACTCATGATTAAACACATTATAGGAAATTGAATAGAATAAATTAGCATGAAATCTTTTCACAGGCAGAGGTTGTTGAATTTTGATGAAAGCAGTCTGGATGATCAAGAAGTGAAAGAATTGAAACACGTGAAGTCAGTTGCTAGAAAAGTTTAAAGGAAAAACATAACATATAGGAGCCTGTCTGCCAATTACAAAAATAATTTTTTGACCATGTAATAACGGGAAAAAAATTAATTAAACTTGCAGTCAGAATAGTCTTTTGTTCCAGACTCAGTTCTAGGACTTGCCTTGCTATGGAAAATATTTTATTTTCTCTGAGACTATTTCTTTATCTGTACCTGTAAATGGACCTTTAAAACTCTTATTATTAGGATATGATACATCTATACAAATAAATAGGAAACATATGTACCCATAATGGTCATGCATTTAATTGTGCATTCTCTGGAAATTTCTCTAGCTAATTTTGATTTTACTATTGGATCTAAAACGAAGAAATGGGGAATTCATTTGCTAAAAGTAGTGCCCAAGTCATGTATCTGAAATATGCCATTCTGTTATGCAATATTTTTATCAAGTTTCTCTTCTTTACTATTTTATTTTTCTATGACTACCAGTATCTTAAGAGAGCACTCTATTTGCCTTTATCCTGTTGACAACCACAGCAGTGAAAGGTTTCCCTCTGAATTCATAATGTAGGAGTGAAATTGACTAAGCTTTGCTGAGCTTCCAAAATTGTACTGCTAGGATGGTAGTGCCTTAGACATTTGATTGCTACCCAGAAGGCTGGCGGTTCAAACCCACCAGCCACTCCTCAGAAGGAAGACTGGGCAATCTATTTCCATAGTGATACCACCTCGGAAACTCAAGGAGGAGGGGTCGCTATGAGTCAGATCCAACTCAATAGCAGTGAGTTGGTTTGGGGTTGGTTAGGACGGTAGAGAATCTAGAAAGTAGTCACCTAAAGAACAACAAAAGGATGTGGACGTGCTTAATCTGAAGAAGAAAACTTTCAGGCCAGATGTGAGATCAAACAATTGGCACCATGTAGAGAAAAAATTTGGTTTACTACAGCGTAGTATATTACTTAGTATGGCTTTTCTACCCATAAGTCATTGTAAACTCAGTGGTGGAATGAGCAACTGAGGAGCTCCTGATTGTAAATGTTAT